AACTGATTCAGAAACAATACGTTAAAATGAACAGAGGCTAAAAGCCCGTACATATACATGATACAATTCAGCCCACGTGCTTGCACACCACAAACGTGTCACTGTTAGCAAACACAGCGTGACTTTGAAATTCAAATCGCAATGAAATCAGATGGAAAAAAAAAAACGAAAAACAAAAAGGAATGGGTGCGAGGCGCAAGGGCTCGGTAACCCCTACTGGGCCCTGTTTGCAACAGTGTCGGCCGCCCTAAGTGAAGGCAGGCCCGACCAAGGACAAGAGGCCTATTTTTGGCTACCACGCAACTGAGGAAATTCAGGTAGTTCCACAGCGCCAGTTGGTTGAGTGCGCCCAGGCCCTGGCTGCCTTTCTCAAATGTAACTGAGGCAGGCCCTTGGGTCAGATATGCAACACGGGCCGAATACAGGCTGCGGACAGTTGAACACAGGTAACCACTCCAGGCCCTGGGCCTGACTCCCTGGACCGGGGCTCAGCCACTTGGGGCCTACCAAAAGCTTCTCGGCAGGGGCCCATCGCAGCCAGGCTGCACACAGCGGGCAGGCCACTTCCATATAGGAAAGTGCCTGCCCCCGCATTTGGCATTCGGGCACTGGCTGCATGCTGCGCAAGCGCTGCTGCGCTAATCGCTGGCCAGCGCCCACACGCTCACGGGCGAGCAGGAAGAGCAGGCAGTCATTGCCGAGCTGCCCTGCGCTATGCTGGATGCGGCGCATGGTGGTCCTTGGGGGCATGTGGCATCTGTGAGTGGGGGATCGAGGTTGTGAGTGATGCGAGAGACATACCTGGTGCTTGAGGCGAACGGAATTGGCCGAGATCTGCTCGTACTTCGGGGAGCTGTTGACGTCACCAGCAGCATTGTAGATAGGCTAGATAGGATCTGCCATTTGTAGTCTGGGCGCAGAGCGCCAGATAGGATGTCGACATTGGTTCATTGGTGATGATGATGAGACTATTCCAACATTGTCACTTGTGAGCTTTTGCTGTGCTCTTATTTGGTGGAACTCGTGTTGAAATTCTGCTTTCGGTTCGAGAGGTCACAACCATCTGGTTTCATGTGTATGATGCTGCTTGGTTTCTGGAGTTCGCTATCGCTCATTTTCCTTGCACAGGAGTTCATCGACATATATTAGAATTTCAAAATTTTCAAATTTTCAGTTTTTCAACTTGTTTTAAATATTTCCACCTATGCTCGGTCTATAACAGCAGCTTCGAAATGTGACAAGTCCATGTCATACCACGCTGAGTGGGCCCCCCATCCAACTCGGTTCCGAAAGATTCTTTTTTTTTCCTTTTCGCACCCCACCTTTTTCAACATCGATCGACGGTTGCCAATATAAATATCCACCAAAATCGCCCTTCTTTCCTCCAAGGTGAATTTAGTGAATAGCTTCTGTTTACCCTATGATTATGTTAATACTTTCCATAAAGGTGTTGAGCACCGTGCAGTGCACAACCTGTCCGTGCACACTCTCTCTCTGTGTGTCTCTCTCTCTCTCTCTCTCTCTCACACACACACACACACACACACACACACAGAAAAAAAAAAAAAAAAGGTCGCAGTGTATATTTCCATGTTCTGCCGGAAGATTCATTCCGATTGTGCTCATCCTATC